AAAAAAATATATGAAGTGAGCTTGACTTTTGAACCTATTAAAACCTGGGAGTTTAAGGAAAGAGCGTAAAATTCTGAGGTGTTTTTCTATTCTCTAGTTCACTGAAGACATCATCACTATGATCTTCCCATGACGAATGATATGTAAAACGAGCCAAGACACGACACTCACGTCTTCCTTCTTACTGGTATCGGTACTCGACGGTTTATCTTCCGACCCGTACATACTTGTTCGACTTAAAATTCAATCGCTTCTTTTTTAAATTTCCAACGAGACTATGGAGATCAGGAGACCATACAAGGGATAGCGTCACGTGAGTATTGCATCGTTGTTTTTTCTTCTTTGACACTTTGATGATTCACGAAAGAAAAATCATAGGCGAAGGGAGGACTGAGGGGAGACTCTTCTTCAGGGGATTTGCCGAGTCCTTGTGAGAACTTATGAGATGAGAACTGATTCGCAGATCTCGTGAAGAGAGGAAAAAGGTGAGAAGTGGATAAAATAATGACGATATCGGTGATGTCTATGTGTTGGGGGTAATTCAATTGGGTTAAGGGTACTTAGAGGATTGAGGACAGGTGACACCGACCGTGCCACTGGTTACACAGAAATTTATAGAGACATTGGTGGTAGAGAAGTCGTTCTAGGCGATACCACCATCAGCCAACTATTTTTTCGATAAAGTCTATTTGAGTACTTCTCAATCCGGCAGTGGTAAACTATGATATAGTATGCTTTTTTTCGAGGCCTGTTTTTAGAGAATATTCGGAAACTCAAGGAAGATTGATATCTTCATTTGGTGATGGCTATCTTCCCTTTTTTTATATTTTTTGAAAATTTCTGGACAACCCTGAATTGACGTAAAAAATATTCGATTTTTAAGTTTTATCATTATTCGATGAATCAAAAATTTTGGTAGCATTTTGGGAAATGTTCTCCTCGACGATGAAACTTTGCGAGACATTGAATAATAATAAAATCTTAAAACGATATGATTTTTACGTCAATTCTTCAATAGTTTCTCAGAAATCTGTAAAGAAATTTTATCTGGAAACAAAGCGTTCCGTAAAATAGAAGAAATATCTTTGATATCTTCTTCGTATTAGCAATTGGCAATTCTCTGTCAACATTTCTCTAGTGATTTTAGCATGGCGAGTGGTTAAAAGTGTCATGATTCTTTATCATTTAAAATGTTTAAATTCTCCTCTAGTTTAATGGCAGCTCTCCTATTTATTCACCTTTCATTAATCATCATTGTTCAAAAATTACCTTACCACTCATTTTTCAACTTGCAAGAACAGGTACATCTCTCCATAAATTCGTACGCAGGCATTCGTATTTCGCATGTAATCGCAAATACGCAAGTACAGACTGATAACATCATCAATCAATCCTCCATCCCTGTCTCATGTGATTTTTGCAATTGATAATCAATTTTTTGGCTTTAAAATCTTCCCACAAAAAATATAATAAAATTCACACCGACTATTTTAAATAGTCTAGTGTTTTATCTCACGAATTTATTAATTTCTTTTCGCTTTTTCTATTCTCCATGAGACGATTCCTTTCGCGTTCGTCATACCGATAGAGTACAAAATTTGGTTTTCGATTTTTAAACGCGAAAAGAATCTTTTTAAAAAATCGTTCTGACTAAAACGCAGACACGCAGTCTCTCGCTGTTTCTATATCACACATTAATTATCTTCATTCTTCTT